TTTTTTTAAAAGTAAAATTTAAAAATGCCACGTGTCAAACTGATAGTGTGCCACGTGGCAATGGCAGTGTGACATGGCACTGACAGTGCCACATGTCATTGTCAGGCCACGTGTCATTACATTAGTCTCAATTTAGTCTCTGTATTTTTATTATGTTGCAATTTGATCCCTGTATTTTTATTTTGTCTCAATTTAGTCTTAATTTTAAAAATTAAACAATTTTTTCCCTCCTCAAATTCAAACAAAATTTAAATTGTATATAAATCTTAACAAATATTTTTATTAAAATTAATATTTTTAATAAATATTTTTAACAAGATTAAGTTTAATTATATTTATATTTACTTAATCATAGAAATGTTAATTATGTTATTTAAATATATCTATAAGGGTTTAAAAAAAAGAGTGACATAACATGTTGGTGTTATGTTATGTTATTTAAATATATACAATCTAAACTTTGTTTGAATTTGAGGAAGGACAAATTGTTTTATTTTTAAAATTAAGACTAAATTGAGAAAAAATAAAAATACAGGGATCAAATTGCAACATAATACAAATACAGGGACCAAATTGAGACTAATACAATGACACGTGGTCTGACAATGACATGTGGCACTGTCAGTGCCATGTCACACTGTCATTGCCACGTGGCACACTATCAATTTGACACATGGCATTTTTAAATTTTACTTTTAAAAAAATAAAAAATAAAATAAAAAATAAAAAATAAAAAAAATAAAAATATAATTAAAAAATTCAAAAAAACTACGAACTAACACGTGTCACCCCTTTAACGGTGTTAGTATGGAACTAACGGTAAGGCCTAAATTGGTTCAATTTTTCATAATAAGGGACCTAATCGAGAACATTTACAATACGAGGACCTACTTGAGACGATCCTACAAAAATAGGTATGTTCGAAAGGATTAAACCTAAACATTAAACATGAAACAACATGTTCATCTAGCAAATGTAATGTAACAGAATCCTAATATAACATAAAAAATGTTCTAACAACTATGTTCATTAACAAAATAAAACTAAAAATCTACATAGTCATCATTAGAATGATCTTCATCATCCTGTTGCTCTGTAGATGGTTGGACTGGTGTGGGCTGGACTGATGTGGGCTGCTGAGGGACAGTGGAATGAATGTCTGAAGCAGGCAGCGCTCTCATGACCAGGGACTTGAAGTTTGTAAACTCGGTTCTCAAGTCACTGTAATTTTCTCTCAATTCATGATTTTCCTGGTCACGTTGTTGTAGTAGCTGTGTCAAGCGGTCGATGGTCTCTTTAGTAGTAGTGGTGGAAGAAGATGGTTGGTGCTTTAGAGTACCTCCTCTTGATGTTGTATAGTTTGCAGCAAGTTGTCCTGCACCGTACACCCGTCCCTTTTTCTTCCCACCAACGACATCGACCCAACACTGTGTCCTACGGATGTCGTCGCCCTCATTAGTCGCATCATCCGGTGTAGGAGCTGACCCATGTTCAGATTTAACCCGTGAAAGTCTCGCAGAAAATTCTTCCTATTCAAACATTAAAAGCAATGTTAGTACCATTGTTATTTGCTTACATGAGTCTTTCGAGATCTTTCATCAACGAATTGATTAGTGCCCTTCCGAACATGAGTCTGTGCAAAGACCTCATCAACATGGACCATCCTCGAGCTTGTGCCTGTAACATAATTTAGAAGTGTACATGAAATAGAAAATACATAAGTTATATATGAAAGAAACACAAAAGTATTGAAAGTTTACCATACGAATGACATGCTCATGAACCGTGATCGGTCCACCAGTATGCAGGGTGCCACCCTTTTCAAAAGTTCTGTTCCTCTGGGCTGTAGCACACTTATTGCGAAACTTTGCTGAATTCCAATGAGCGAGTAAAGAGTTCCAAATGTGCTCGCTCAACCAGTAAGGGCGCTCCTCTGCATTGCGGGCATCCCAAAACATCTCTGACAACCGATGAGATGCTTTCATGTGGAAATTTCTTTGTATTTGAGTTTCATGTTCAGGTTTCCACTGCACCTTCATTTGTAACATTAAACAAAACAAACACTACTTTAGTGAACCTACTAAAATAAGAATGACAATTAGTTTTTTATGGGTTGTTCACCTGAAAACGCTGCCAGAATGGCTTTCTGTCGTCTTTAGGTATTCCTCCCCAAGTAGGCCATGGACTTAAAAATTGTTGCTTAATTGATCATGTGATGGCCTGTGAAGCAACCCTGGATGGAATAAACCTGCATATAAAGAAATAAAAGGCATTTGAAGTAAGACAAACTTTAAACATCAAAATGGTTAAAAAAGGGATTAAAGTCTTACCCTTTACCATATGGCTCAATCCATGGTCGATCATGGAGGGGCGGGTCAACACCATTACCATCACCAGCTAAATATGGATCACCAGATGGTGTGGTAGTCTCAGAAGGCGGTATAGAAGACGAGGAAGGTATAGAATTAGAGTCAGGGGGAGCAGTAGGGGTAATAATCATTCACACACCTCATAAACTTTACAATATCTCAGCCATGGTCTAAATGCCAAACAAAAGAAATGGAAAAGTTGGACTCATACAAAGACCCAAAAATTGGTGGTTTGAGATTCAAAATTACACAACAACAACTCTAGATCAAAACTAACCACTTCAACAACTTTGTTTGCTGAATTGAAACATATGGAAACTCAAATTTTACTCAAAACCAAACTGCTACTCAAAATCCCTTTCTACTTCCCAAAATTGACTCAAAGATGGTGGTTTTGGAAGTGATTTTGTGCCTAACCCATTCTGACCCTTTGCTAATCATTTCAATAGTTTTAATTCATCAAAACACACTTGTTTGAACTATAATTAGGCACAAAACAGAACTGCAACTTAGATTCACTTTGAAAGATAAAAAAATGGGTCAAATATGATGGTTTGACATACTAAATTGCATACAGGTCATTCTAACTTCATATCAATGATTCTAACAACTTTAATACATCAATTTGGACTTGTTTAAACTTATAAATATCACAGAATCACAGCAGAACGAAATTTGATCTGTAATGACTCAATTAAGTACTTTTTACTACATTTTATAAGGTTTTAAGTAGTGTGATTTTGACTTTTAGGGAATTCTTTGCTTATGACCACTTTCCTACCATCATTTCAGTACTTTAGACTTGTTAGGATGTTAACATTACTTAAAATTACTCTACTTTAGGTGAATTGGCAATTTGTCACCCTTTAAGTGAACTTTTTAGGTTGAAACTACTCTAACTTTGAGTTTTAGGTACTTGTTTGCTTTTGAGTAGTTTCCTACCTTCACTAGAATAATTTAGACTTATTAGGATATTAACATTAGTTAAAGTTAGTCTACTTTAGGTGAATTGCAAATTTCTAACCTTTTTAGTAGACCTTTTTAGGTTCTAACTACTCAAAATTTCAGTTTTAGGTACTTGTTTGCTTTTGAGTAGTTTCCTAGTGTCATTTCACTACTTTATACTTGTTAGGATATTAACATTAGTTATTGTTAGTCTACATTAGGTGAATTTCCACTTTCTCACTCTTTTAGTAGACTTTTTTAGGTTCTACATACTTAAACTTTGAGTTTGAGGTAATTCTTTGCTTTTGACAAGTTTCCTAGTTTCATTCCACTAGTTTAGACTTGTTAGGATGTTAACATTACTTAATACCATATTTTAGTCTATTAAAACTTCCTAACCACATTCACAGTTCAAGAAATCCAATTCTCACATTCATATGCATAATTTCAATAGTTGTTAGAAGCTTATTTGCAATCTTTTAGGTTCAATTAGTCCTTTTCTGATTTTAGTGATATTTTAAGCATTTTAGTGTTTTAAGAGTCATTTAGTGTCATATTATAAATGATCAAATGGTATAAGTATCATTCCATGCATGACAAATAAGAAAACTACCTTTTAAGTGTTGTCATAATGTCACACTCCATTTTAAACTACCTTTGCTGTCAAAATTGGTGTGAGAGTCATTTTGTGATTCTTGAGTTTCTAATTCAGTTTCACCAATCATTTAGCATAGCTACACATATACAAACCTGTTCACTACATTACACAATACTTAGGTTATATCATTCAACAAAAACTAAATGAAACCTACGGTCTCATTGACACATTCCATAATCTTCACTTACTATTGTCCCTCTTTTATTGTCTAGCCTCATCAAGACCAAAACAACAGATAATATGTGTTGCAGTAGCACAACTCTGTTCTTCAACCTATGATGACCAAGTTTTCATGATTTGAGATTAGTTTTAGCATAGTTTTAGGTTCTCAATAATGAATTTTTGAGTTTTTGTAGAGAGGAAACTTTTGAGTTGTTTCTTGAATTTCTTTTAATATTTATAACCTGTTTAGACAGCTGCATTGCATTTTACTGTTCTGGTTGAATGAAATTCTAATTTTAGAGTACTTAAGATGCTTTTTATAGGTTGTTATAGGCAAAATTTTACAATGCTTATGTAAGTGTACTCATTACCATCTTTTGTAGCACTCTTTAACAATTTAGAAATTTTTTACAAGGTGAGCTTACTATTTAGATGAGTTAGGTATTCATTTTTAGTCCTTGTAATATATTGTATATATAGTGGTTGTTTTAAGTGTACTTATAGGTTCTTGATAGCCAGATAATGTAGCTTTTGCTATGTTTTGAGGTTTGGGTAGTGATTTTGAACTACTTCATCTACTCTTTTAGGTTTCAAGTAGGCAAACTTTGAGATTTAGTTATTTCATCTATTTTGACATGTTTCTTAGCTTCATTTAATAACTTTAAACTTGTTAGGATGTGCAGAATACACACGTTGGTAGGTTACTTTAGGTCAATTCCCATTTTCTCACTTATTTAGTACACTTTTTTAGGTTTCAAGTAGCCAAATTTTAAGATTTAGCTACTTGTTCTAATTTGACATCTTTTTTAGCTACATTTAAGTACTTTAAACGTGTTAGGATAACAAGATTACAAATCCTTAGGTTACTTTAGGTGAATTCCCATTTTCTTACCTATTTAGTATACTTTTTAGGTTTAAGTAGCCAAATATTGAGATTTACCTACTTAGCTCAAATATTGACATCTTTCTTAGCTTTATTCAAGTACTTTAAACTTGTTAGGATAAGAACATTACGCGTTCTTAGGTTTGTGTAGGTCAATTTCGAAATTGTCACCTATTTAGTACACTTATTATGTTTTAAGTAGTGTAATTTTAGGTTCTCAATAGTCAAATCTTGTATTTCTTTGTATTTTTGAATTTTGCCCTCATTTTTATCTTTCTTTTATGTTTTAAAACTTGTGTAGATAGTTTATTAACTGTTTTGGTTAGTACTTTAATACACTATGCATTATGACCACTTTTAGCCTATTCTAGTAACAAGTTTTAGGTTCTAGGATATCATATTTTGAGTTATAGGTTGTTTTTGTAGTGTGAGTTTCTAGTTAGCTAGGTTTTACCATTCTAAACTTGTTAGGACAGTTTCTTTGAAGTTTCTTAGGCTAGTTTAGTACAGTTTGCAAATTTTGACCATTCTAGTACATTTTTAGTACTCATTTTGAGGGTTTAGTAGTGGTTTACTCAAACAAGTTTAATTATCATAACTAACCACTTCAACAACTTAGTTTGATGAATGGAAACATGTTCAAATGGAATTTTCACTCAATTTTAAACTTAGTGCAGTTTTTTATTGTTTACTCTTACTAGTTCAAGTGCTTTAATTTTTACGTCCATAGTTAGATTTTTTTTTCTTAGTGATTTGTAGTGGTTAGTTAAGTTTTTATTAGTATGTTAGCATTGTGAACTTGTCTACATACTTACATTCCAGTTTTTACTTGGTTTAGATAACATTTTTTGGGTTTGTTTTGGTGAATTTCACAATTCTGGTTGTTTGTACTGGGTATATTAGTTTTGACATTCTTTTACCATTTAAAAGTTGTTTACAAAGTGTCTTAACAGTTCTACATATCAGTTTAGTGCAATCCTCATTTTAAAACTAGTTTAACATACTTTTTAGGCTTTCACTAGTGAGTTTTAGAATCTCTTACAATTAGTGACTTTTGAAGTGTTCTTTAGTTTTCTTTAGTCATTTAAGACTTGCTTAGGTAGTTTCTTTATTGGTATTCTTTCTGTTTTAGTTTAGTTCTTACTTTTAGCTTCTTTAACCTAGTTTTAGAGTGTTTTTGTAGGTTGAGTAGTAAAATTTTGTTATTGGACAATTTAATTTGAGTTTGTTTCTAGCTTTCTTTAGTCATTTTAAAGTTCTTTGAATAAATTTTACCTCTGTTTTTACTAGTTTTTGCAGATTTGCACATTTCTCATTTTGCTAGCTTAGCTATTAATTTGTAGATGATAGATAGAGTGTCTAACTTGAGTGCATAATTTTTAGTCATGTTTGTAAAGTTTCATACATTGAATTAAGTGATTTTTACATGATGAATCAGTTCCAAAGAACAATTTTGACAAAAGTGAACCTTGAGAGATTTGAACTTCAGTTTTTCTTGTGTGTGCATTCATGAAAATGACATTCTAGGCCTTGCATTATTTCTCTTCATAACTGATCATTTGATGTGAATTCTTGATGTGACCCAGGCCCTCTTTGAATTAAGTCTCTTGCCAAATATACCCTACCTTGGAAAATTTTCCCTAGCACCAATTTTTGAGGCTGTTTTAGGTTTTTATTCAGATTTCCACATCCATTGTCATCAGCCTTGGACCTGTAAAACCAGATTATACTATGTCTTAGAGTTCTTAGGTTAAGTAGGTTGTGTTTTATGGGACATTGTTGAGTTCAAGTGTGGGGGTATCATTGAAAAAGAGGCATATGTGACTGAGTTGATGGTTGAAACAGTTTGTGAATCATTAACAAATGAGAGAAAAAGCTGGATCAAAATGATCTTCTATCAAATATGGTACTTTCTATCTAGTCTTTAGTATTATTTACTTCATGTATTTGTATTGTATCACGTGAATG